CACACGGCCTTCCCGGCGCGGCGCCCCCGCGAGCGCACCCTCCCGCGCCGGGCTAGTGATTCATGGTCCCTCGGGTGAACCCCACCCTAGCAGAGAGCGAACTTCATTCCCCACCCTTATCTCCCGTCCCTTCCAAGCCCTGGCGACGGTCCACTTCATTTCCTTCCTCATCCGCAGACTCCTCAAATACCACACGCCATCCCCCTCATCTTCATCCCCTCCCTGTCCCCTAAAAATGTGTTAATTAAATGTAGTTTCCTCCTGCCCGCATACGAAATGTGGGAAATGAATCTTCGTCTTGGCACAAGCTGTGATTCATTTATCTTCGTTTGCTCGAAGGCTATAGGAATTTTAGCTACCACCATCTCCCATTTGTTCAAAAATCGAACCGTGCCTTGTTCTGAAATATTCCTACACAATCGTGGGGAAGGAAGACTTCCTGCCTTTGGGGAGGAAACAATATTTAGAAAATGCTCGGCTTGTCGTTCTATTCGGCGTTTAAAAATATCTGCAGTGTTACAGAGATACTGGGAGTGGCTGGATGTTTTCTTGCATTTAAAAACCAAAGAGAAAAGCTTTGCATGCATCAAGATTAGCGTTTTAATGAACAGGGCACACACACACACGCAGAGTATGCTGAGGGCATGTCTCGGATAATAGTCTTCACTATCAGGGCATTTGCCAGGCACGAACCTAGACCCCACCGCCACCAAAGCAAAACAAATTCACGTCATCGTTTTCAGCATGTCTGATGAGCAGTCCTTTCCACGACCATTCCCTTTCCCACAGTTCCTGAGCGAAATGGGTAAACGGTGTGCTTACCCGCTGAAGATCCGAAGCCTTCTGGTGTGCAGGGCAGCAGACGCGGGTCTGTGTCTTCCTGTCCTCGGTGTGCGTTCTGCAGTGCCTGCTGCACACAAACCCGCTGCGGCCTCGGGCCAGCGGTGGCGGCGGCGGCGGCGGCGGCGGCAGCTTCTCCCAGCGCTGAGTAGTAGAGTAGGACTTGGTAGAGACTCCGCAGTTACCAGTAGGCGCTTGCTTCTAAGAGAGGAGGCGGAATCTTTCTTAAAGGAATGGGTTTTGTTTTTCCTCCCCACTATTGCTTCATAAGAGAGAGAAAGGGTGGAATCGGGGAGTTTTTTTAGACAGAGTAAAGCAGTACAGCTGTGGGAGGTCAAGGTTAAAATTAACTGGGTGACTGGGGGACAGAGGCACTGATTTCAGCGCGAGTCAATGAATCACTAGAAGCACTAGTTTTAAAGAGCCCTGCTAACTTCAGACATGGAGGTTAATGGCAAAAATCAAGATGTGCGCCTTGAAACTGTTCCGCGGTCTGTGCTTATATTTCATTCCCAATCATCGTACATCACTGTGGAAATGCTATTTAAAACTGAATCCAAGAATGGAAGGAATAATAAACTTATGTGACTGGCAGCCGCGATTCAAGTCCTGCTGACACAATCGTGCCTAGTTTCCATGAATGCCGGAATTAGAAAATATATTGTTCACAGTTGAGTGTATATTCACGTGTAATAAAAATCACAATAAACTATGATATCTAAAATAATTTTAGACAATCCTAGAGCGCTGTGCTAATTCAGGGGCAATTCAAAGGTCAACAAGGTTGAACTCAGTGGCTTAGCTTACTTTAAATGCATGTGAATCTATTTACACTCTTAAAATGTATCTACGTGTCTGCATTATAAACATAAGCTTTATTCTTAATACTATTGCTTCATTTAAGCGCTGAGCATCTATGACTTTTTTTCCTTCATAGGTGAATGTAGAGGTGTGTTCTCAAAGTACGAATAGAGAAAAAAACTGAAAATACTCTGCCGGTAATTCTCTTTGCACAACCTTTGTTGGTTACTTGTGTGGTCTTGAACAAGGAAGTAACCTCACTTGGTCTCTAGTTCCTTGTTTTGTAGACTGTGGATGCTGGATTGAAATTTCCCAAGGTCCTTTAACATTCCAAAATACTACAGTCATTTTATGACTTTATATTTGTGTGTTTGGGTTATTCAGTGCAAGAGTGTCCCACCCTAAATTACTTTTCCTGAAGACATAGATTAAAATAAACCGTTATTTTAAGTTCATAACCAGCATTTGTTATTCACTGCTAAGCAAATAATCATTTTGTAAGGCGAATAAACTTAATTTCATCTGAGTTATGATTGCATACCCAACTATGATCAATTTCTCTGAAGGAGAACCTACCTCTACCAACTGACTGAGGTAACCTGATGTATGTTAAATATAACTGGGGCACGTTCACCATCCCTGAATGATAGAGCTGGAACATATTTCAGCGCTTACCTACTCCAAATCTGTAATTTTACAAGTGGGAAACCAAAACCTGGAAGAGCAAAATAGGAACAGGGTTAGGGATAGAGCTAGGATTAACTTCACACACAAAGCAAATACATGTACAGTGCGTATGAATGCTGTTTCACATTGAGGCCTGAGCAGGACCTGTCACAACAACAAAGAGTAATTACACTCAGTGACACTGTGTACAGACAGTATCGTTTTGTCTTTTTGAGACAGGGTCTCACTATGCAGCTCAGGCTGGCCTTGAGCTCACTTTGTAGCCCAGGCTGGCCTCGAACTCGCAGCGATCCTCCTGCCTCAGCCTCCCAAGGGCTGGGATTACAGGTGTGTACCACCATGCCTGGCTCAGACAGTATAAACTAAAGAAACATATTAAACAAGTACGATGCATGTCTGTATTAATACAAATTTTGCTTTCAGGTTTGGAGGCATCAGTAAGACAAGAAATTTTTCCAGGAAAAAGAAGAAGGAGAAGAAGAAGATGAAGAAGAAGGAGAAGGAGAAGGAGAAGAAGAAGGAGGAGGAGGAGGAGGAGGAGGAGGAGGAGGAGAAAAGGATGACGAACCCATAGCACCGGTTAGCACACTCCTGTTGACCTTCCACCCAGATAACAGGACCCTCACCCACCCTGTGGAGTATTTCTTTGTCCCCGTTCTTGCCTCTTGCCTTTTGTCTAATCCTCAGCAATGCCTACCTAGAGAAAATGTTCTTTTTTGGAGCCAGGGAGGGGAAAATATTACAGAAAGTTATTTCTAACCTTCGGAAATGCTTTTTGGATATTGAAAGCTTTGTGCTCTGGCCTCACGTTTTCCCCCAAATCTTGATGTGGGAATCTGGCACCAAGCTGAGCCCAGTCACCCTAGTTTCAAGGAAGCATTAGGGTTAAAATCTGTATTATATTAGATGACATAGCAAATTTCTTCTTCTGTGTACCTGGCAGGTACAGTTCATCACCTTGGTTAAAAAAGAGAAGTAAATGCCTCCTTCAGGGAGAGAGTGGAAGGAAATTAGTTGCCCGGTTTTGCATCCGTTTTTGTTCATCTTGCTTCTCTGCAAGGCAGTTTTTCGTTTCATCTCCTAAGTAGGAATGAAGAATGAATAAAGTGGTGATTATCTGTATAATTCAAAGCAAGCACCCTGAAAAAAATTAAATGCATTTCTTCCTATCTTCCCAAAGTATGAAGCAGTTTCTTATATAAAGACACTTAACAGATACTTTTTAAACATGAATGCACGATTTAATGAGTGAATTGCCCCAAAATACCCTGAAACTGATTACAAAGTGTTTTTGTTTGTTTTTAATTTGCATTGTCCAAAACAACTGACTCCATTTTACACTTCCCTTTTCTAACACTGCCATGATCTAAAAGACACAGTCTCCTTTCTGTAGAGCTCTTTAGGCATGCCTGATTTGTATTCTCCAATTAAATTGTAGCCGCAAATCTCCACATGAACCCTGGGTAGATCAAGCAGTAGCAGAGACACTTTCTGCCAAGAAAACACAGGCTTAAGTTTCAAAATCCTGGTGTTCTAGTTCTGGTTGTGAGACCGACTGGTTATGTGACCTCAAACAAGCTTCTTGACATTCTGTGCCTTTGTGCAGCCATCCTTTAAGTGGTGCTGGTGGATTATAATACCTGCTCTACCTATTTCGTAGGGCTGTTGTGAAATTCAAATAAGATATGCATGTAAAACTGTTTGGAACCTTTCAAAGCACGACATAAGCATAAGGTATTACTATAGGCTAATGTATTTTAAATCAATTTTCTAGTTCAAGGGACTTTACCCTAAACAACCTGTTTTACTACTTATTGTTTTAGAAACCAAACAAGTTTATCTCTCTTCTCTCACTCTGTAAACACACACACACACACACACACACACACACACACACACACACACTCACTCCTGCTGTTCCCAATTTAACAGCTCAGCTTTGAGGATCTCCTCCTGGGCTGGGAAATATGCATCTGAAGTTGAACAGGAAGAACGAAGAGTTGATAGCGTGCTCTCTCCCTATCCCACCGCACCCCAAATCTACCTTTTCAAAGTTCTCAGACAGAAAAATAAACTTAACGAAGCACAGCAGACCCTTTGTGCTACCCCGCGTAATCAGTGGGCCGGATGAGCTATTCATCTGGAACGGCCCTGCTACATGCACCTTGAAGACCCCTTTATGCCGAGCTTGTCTGGAAAGTGCTTGGGGAACAAGGCAGGGAGGACTGGCATGGAGCCCATGCTAATGAGTTCTCCACTCCCTGAGGAGACAGAATCAGGGCAAAGGACTCAAAGATTCATCAACGTATTTTATTAGAACTATGTGACCTATATGGTTTATTTTATTTTTAAAAATTTATTTATTTATTTTTTCAGACAGGGCTTCGCTATGCAGTGCAGACTGGTCTTGAACTCACTTTGTAGCCCAGGCTGGGCTCAAATTCCCAGTGGCCCCTCCTGCCTCAGCCTCCCACGTGCTGGGATTACAGGCATGAACCACCATACCCAGCCTCTATGTGGTTTATCTTAAAGGAATTGCCTCAGTTAAATATCTGACAGACCCTTGTACAACTGTTTATGTCATTGAGGTTAATAAATTCCTATGACTTTCATGGAAATCACCCAGGTTCCTATTTTTTGTGTGATTGTTTTCACTTATCTATTTTCTATTTGGTGACTTAAAAATTTCATGACTAAATAAATAAACAAACAACTGCTACAAATAAGACACTCCTAATGAGAAGTCACGTATAGATCGGACAGAGTCAGTCGTGGTGGTGCATGCCTGTAATCCCAGCATTTGGGAGGCTGAGGCAGGAGGATTGCTGTGAGTCTGAGGCCAGACTGGGCTCTAAAATGAGTTCAAGTCCAGCCTGAACTGCATAGTGAATCCTTGTCTCAAAAAGAGGAAGAAAAAAAAAGATTGGACATAAAAATTCATATGAACTCAATCTATGACTCATCAATTTCTTCCTTGTTTTTTTTTTTTTCTTTTGGTGGTAGTGGTGGTGATACTTAGAATTTGAACACAGGGCCTTCAACTGCTTTACATTCCTAGCCCTTTTAAACTTTTCTTTCTTTCTTTTTTTTTTTTCCTGTGACAGGATCTTGCTCAATTGCCCAGCTTAGGCTTGAGCTTGCAATCCCCCTGCCTCAGCCCCCCAGAATTCTGGGATTACAGGCATGTGCCACCTGCACCCGGCTGAGTCATTGGTTTCTGTGTAGAAAAATTGTACAGTAAAGGCATAGGACACAGCTATTGTATGAAACCTAAAGTATATCAGTTTTTTTTTTCTTTTTTCTTTTTGAAACAGGGTCTTGCTATGCAGTTCAGGCTGGCCTTGAGCTCACTTTGTAGCCCAGGCTGGCCTCGAACTTGCAAAGATCTTCCTGCCTCAGCTTCCCGAGTGCTGGGATTACAGGCATGCACCAGCACACCTGGCTAAAATATACCAGTTGTGTAGACATTTTTGCATATGGCCATGTGTCGTAACACTTTAGCTGTTAACCCTAAATATTTATATTACATGATCTTAGAACAAGTATCTTAATCCTTATCCCTGTACATCAAGAATGTGGTCAGGAGCCACCTGTAACAAGGTCATTAAGAGAGTTTCCCGAAGTGCTGTTTCCTGAGCCCAG